AAAAAAAAAAAAAAAAAAAAAAAAAACACGAACAGATACGTGGGCAACGAAAATCGACGGATTGGTTCAGGCAAAGATGCGCGCCGGCGTGTTCACCGGGACTCGGCCTCGGCCCGCTAGGTACGTAGCGCTCAGATTAGTTGCGTACGCATTTCGGAACGATCGCGTCCGTCGGACCGCCACGGCTTTTTGCATTTTCGCGTTTTCGACGGTGGGAGGGGGGGGGAGTTTACATACGCATATTACATATTTTACAAGACCGGGGGAGGGGAGCGATAATATTATTGTGTCGGGCGTAAACCATTGCAGTTGTATACGCACTGTCAATTATTACATTCCCGTGAAACGGCGTATAGGTGTCGGACAAGCGCGCGCGCTAAGACCGCGCGTTAATAGCGTCCGTTTACGCCGGAACACGCGTCGTTAAAATCAAAAAACAAAAAAAAAAACGTTAACGAATTGCGCGTGAATATAATAATACAATTCTGGTCTCGTGTTCGGCTGTATACCGTTATCGTTACAAATCGATCGGGTGTCAGTTATTTTTGTCTACGTTAAAACACTGTTGTAACGGACCCGTTACCCGCGCGAATTCAAATTCCCTGGGGATGAGAACGGCCACTATCGTAGTTGAAAAGTTTAGAAAGTAGGAGGATACATGAGATTATTTCATTTATATCTGTAAGCGACGATAAACCATTGCTTGACGATTCCGAGCGTTGTTCGTTAATACATAATTTGAAGTGCTGTATTTTTTTTTTTTTTTTTTTTTTGCCATTTTCGTTTAAATTTGATTTCAAAACGCTTATTTAATAAAAAAAAAAAAAAAAGGCGTTCGATGATTTCAGAAATTTCACCACGTCCAAGTAAGTTCAATATATGTACTATTACCAAGTTTAAAGTCTCTACGTGTATCTATAATCGAATTATGGCAAAAAAGGAGTCTTGTGATTTTTCGATTTTTTTTCTGGTGGAAAACGTCGTCCGTGTTTTTGTAAAATAACGTAGTCGTGATATTGTACGTTTTCCAACGTTTTTTTTCCCCACTTAAGTGCTTTTATTAATAAAAAAAAAACGTCGTCAAAAGTCGAGAAGTACCATCTAGACAACTAGAGCTTTCGGAAAATTTGCTACACTTAAATTCGGAACAAGTTTACTAGGAAAAAAACGTGTTCAGAGTAAAAAAAAATAATAATAATAATAAACATCTTAGTAAAACCAATAGCTACACACGCTACGCTCAGAATCCGAAGACAGCAAACAATTACGTCCTTCGCATTAAAATCAGTTATCCACCAATACTGTACAATAAAATCCCTTGATAGAATGTTTGCAACATTCTAAATTCACCGTTCTGTAATACGTATCGTTTTTAATATTTTTGCCGCGAACCTAACCTAACCAACCGATCCGCGATCGATTTATTTAGGAACCTCTGCCCGGTGCTATGAGGCCCGCGGTATTCAATCAAAACGCTATTCCGTCAGCGCGCATTCGTTTTTACGCTCAACGATAATTCTCGCCTTTTTTTTTTTTTTTTACGAACCAAACATACGGACGTATTAACAATTAGTTTATAGGAGACCTAGGAGACGGCCTTAACGTTGCGTTACGCGCGTGTACAAATCGCGCGATAGAAAAAAAATACACCGTTGTTAAGCGAAAAATCAAATAAATAAACGTAAAAAAAGCCACCGAACGTCGTTCGATGTTATCGAAATCAATTTTTCGTTTTTTTTTTTTTTTTTTTTTTTTTTTTTTATTTCGGTTTTTACGCGGAGACAACGCGTACTTCCACCGGAACATAATTATTTCCGTTGTACTATGTTTTTTTTGAACCCGTCGCCGTTGGTTTTCGTCGAGTATTGGACGGCCATTTGCTTGGCGGCCGCGGTCTGCGGGTTTCCCGGACGGTGTCCGGTCGGGGACGGCGAAAACGGCGCGGTAAACGATCGCGACCCGGACCTGGGAACGGCCGAACAGCCGGACGGACACGCGAAACCGCCAAAGACGGGCGGTCCGTCCTGGCGGCCGGTCTCGGAATACCGCGACGGCGACGGCCGGAAAGAGCGGTACGCGGTGGCGAAATTATCCGGACATTCGGAGTTGATCGACGGGTTTTTCCACGTAGACCGCCGGCCGTCGGACAAGACGCAGCGGGGCGGCCGCCACCGCACGACCGTCGGCCCGAACAACGCGACCCGGGGCGGGAAAAACGTCGACCGGAGTGATCCGCGGACGGCGACGGCGGCGACGACGGCGGCCACTCCCGGCCCGGGGCAAAACCGGCTGTTCGGCAACGAAAACGAGTGCGTTTCGGCCAGTGACGGGCGACCGTGCGTGTGCTACACGACGGACTTTTTGGACTCGGTCACCGGGCTGCTGTTGGACGAGATGACGCTGGTCCAAGACGACACGGCGGCCGCGGTGGCCACGTTCGCGTGTCCGACGTACAAAGCCGTCCCGCCGGCGTTTGTCGTTTCCCCTCCGCGGCCGCCCGAAACCGTCGAAACGACCGCCGCCGCCCTGGTCCCGGAACGGAGCGGCGACGGGAACGAAACCGCGGCCCCCGCGCGGAAAGAAGTGGATTTCGATTATGTCGTCAACTACCTGCTGGACAAGCCCAAAAACGGTGAGTAATATTTTTTACCCAGAAGTGAGAAACGCAAAGGTCGGTACTGAGCTGCGGACGGGTGTGCCGCCGTTTTAGCAGTTTTTTAATATTTGAAAATCAAACGCGGGTAGCGGTTTTATACCCCCCCCCTCCCCCCCCTGAAAATAAGGTTATTGCAGAAAATAACGTAAACATAAAATTGCAGAGCCGCTTGTTTCTTAAATGCTCTAGAAAACAAATTCCGGAAAAAGTTAACACTTTCCGAGATTAACGATTGTGCCCACCCACTCAAATGGATCGCTCGGTGCATATAAATTATTCGTTCATTTCTCTATTTACCAGTATTGACCGTTTAGTAATTGTGTTTTATGGATTTCGCCCTTCCAGTCACTTCACCGCCGCCAGTAGGTGATAGCATATACGAGTGCGCTACGAGTTCGTATATTTATATTAGAACTCAACGATATAGGCGCGTGTATATTATGACGCACGACGGCCATTAAACGTCTTAATATTTTATGATTATTGTTCAGATCGCCTCAGAGTACACTACGGTCTGTTGGGAAACGTCGTTAAAATTCGGTGCGCGGACAATAGCACGGGAATATACGCGGTTAAATGGGACTATAATAAAGACAAAATCAATTCTAGTAAGATTGTTTATTGAACTATCTGTTACGGCCCGCGGACGCCGTGCAATATAATGTTGTCCGATGTAATTGATCAAACGAGAACTCAAAACCCACGCGGTCCGCAGAGTTCGGTGTCGAAACCCGCACAAACGGCTACATCCGGGTTTAATTCAGACCCGTGCGTGTGGGTTTTGAAATGAACTGATTACAGGATCAGATTCACCTGCAAAAGGCCTATTATCACCACAGTGTCGCAAAATAATTTCTCGATTTTTCGGAACGTGTGCATTTTGATTCTAGTCCGTTCGATTGCGCTTTAACATACCAGGTGATCCATTTATGTGTGTGGGTACACACATCACCTCGGAGAGTATCGACTTTTATCGGAATTTGTTTTTCAAAACATTTAAGAAACAAGCGGGCACTACAATTTTATGTGTACGTTATTTTTTGTCACCCTTATTTTCGGGAATAAAACCACTACCTACTTTTGATTTTCAAATAGCAACCTATGTTAAAAACTTAGCATTATAAACACGCCACGTGCCGTACATTCACACGAATGATACTCCACTACTCTGCTTTAGCTCAAACATAAAAGTGGGATACATCGTAAACGGCTTGACAACAATCGAAAATTTCAGCACTAAAATTTATTTGAACTAATACTTCGTTCATTTGTAGAATTTGTAATATGGGTTACACCATTTTAAAATCAAAATTGATACCCCCAAAAATAAGGACGACAAAAAAATAACATAAATACAAAACTGTAGAACAGCTTGTTTCTTAAATGTTCTAGAAAACAAATTCCGGAAAAAGTTAACACATTCCGAGATGATGAGTGTACCCACTTAAATGGATCACCTGGTACGTATAGTAGACTAAGGTTTAATTCAACATTATTTTATTCTCAGATGCTACGATCGTCATTTCAGATACGAATAATCTGATGATTTCGAAACTGGAACCGGAAAACAGTATAAATTACACTTGCGTAACAATGACGGAAGCGGTCAAGGGATTAAAAATCCCCCAAAAAAGATACACTCATTACGTTATTGGTACTATAAGTTATTATTCTATAAAGTGATCGGTCGTTATGAATTTTTTCCGATATATTCCGACATTTTTTACCGATATACCAGTCAGGGGCGATCATCAGTCAGGAGGAGGGGTGACACCCGCCTCTTCTAAAGTCTGCAACTGTATTTTTCAGTCGGCGTATTATAGCTATTCACAAGACCTATAATACCTAAAATTTTAATATTTTTATTTGTACTTATTTCCTTGAATTAACGATTGTTGTAAATCGACTAATGTATTGGTTTTACAATGATGCTTATATTTTAATTTTTTTTTTTTTCTTTGAATAACTTTTCTACTAGAAATTTCACTCTAATTTTCAAATGTAGCATTTTTTTCTGAAATTAACTCCAACTGGGATGGTACTTTATAAGGAAGTCATTTTTTAATTTTTTCAACAGAGATTTCCTCAATAAATGGGAAAAACCGGGAAAAAACGTAGGAATAACGGGAAAATGTACGAAATGTATTATTTTCGAATCGTAAATATTATGGCCTTTTAAAACACGTATAACCGGACTCCGCTCAGAATCGCGAAGCTTAATCATTGCGTACAGATATACATTAATTTTCCCTCAATATCCTACCTCCTAACTTCTCACCTACAACAGTGATCCGACCATCCATCGTGCAGGGTATGTCCGTCATTTTTAATGTTTGAATGCCATGTGTGTATTTTCGTAGTACCTTTATAATATTGTGATTTCCTGTTTTCTTTTGTTAATTCATCAAATATAAATTTGAATTCAAAAAATAAAAATCGTAGGAATACGATGTAGTTAAAAAAAACAAAAATGTCGAGGGGTCAGATATCTTCCTAATTCTCCTTATTTTAAATGTACTACAGATTTTATCACGAGCTACGGCATATAGCGGGCTGCATTTCCTTTGCACAATTGCATCATAAGCATAAAATAGATCTTATATTGATGTGTCACAATCTAACAACTAGGCTAAACTTGCGTGTTTATTATATTTAGCCATCGACAAACCCATTTACGAGATCAAGGGTACAGCATTTTACAAAGCCAATGGTGGTGGCGGTTGTGCAAGAGAAATAATCGGTCCAATGATAAAACAGCTACCGGGTTTAGTGCAAACGGAAGTATGTCCCGAAGGATCGTCACGGTACGCGTGTAACGTTGATGTGGAGTCGTCAAAATGTTCTGAAAATGAAGTATACTGATTTTTCTTCCCCCCCTCCATATTATATAATTAATAGTTTATAATATTAGATTCAAATGCAGCAGTGGTAGATTTTAAAAAATAAAAGAAGAGATTAAAAAAAAATTAGTTCAATTATTGAACTAAACCTAATCCATAAGACGGTTTCGCCCAAACACCGCTCTTACACTGATTTCCAAACGCAATTTAATAATTAACAATTAATAAGGAGTAAAAAACTAATAAAACTACTATAAGCTAAATTTTCACTTACATATTTATGTATTTAAAATTCTGAGCATAGCGAGAAATGTGTTGGCTTGGCTACATCATATGTGTTTTTTCGATTTTTGTTTCTTTCTGTAAACAACTTGTCTACTAGAAACATTGTTCATCATCAATTTTTATGTATGGTTTCTGGTAAAAAAATTGTATTCAATTGGCGTAATTTTATTTTCTCGTAGTTTGCTTAACAATGCGGAAACAAGCAAACAGCTTCTATTCTATTCAATTTGTTTTTTTCTTGTAATTCAGTGTAAAATAATCATATAAACCGGAAATTTCACCAAATACTTTACCAAATTTACTTTCCACTAACCGACCTTTTCCAGACATGGTACCGTTTACAAAATATTTAAGCAATGTATGAGCTTTTTATAGCAATTTGAAACTATCGAAATTTTCATTTTTTATGTGGTTTTTATAACTAAAATATTGCTTTGGCTCAGCGGAAATGTTCGAAAATTTAACACAATACTTATCGCGCATTAAATTGAGTGGTGAAAAAGAGAAAATAGCAAAGGCACGCTAAAATTTCTGAAAAATATGTTTAGGTACTTACAGGTCTCCCTGCGTACTCTTAAGTCGGGCACTAAGGTTGAGTTCAATTATTGGAGACTGTCAATGAATTTTACAATTTATTTGAGTATAGCGCTTAGGTATCTTAGGAACGAAATGTGCATACGTCTTAGTCTGGATGTAAAAGACGAAAAAAACTAATTAATGGCAACTAAGATAGTCTAAATAATATTATATTGCAGTTTAAATTAATACAAATGAACTATTTCGAAATTTTAAAAGTATTTTTTATGCTATACAGGGACAAACTTTTGTTATATGGTTCATGAACATTAACCGTAAAGACAGTGTATAATAAAATATATCTAAGCAATAAGTACCGTAGACTCGGTGCAACAACACAAATGTTCAGCTGAAAAGATAACCTATAAATAAAATATCTATAGGGCTTATCTATTTTTTTTCCCAGAATTTGGATAAATCCAGACAAGTCCACATCACTATTTTCCCCGTATCTATTTGACAGACTTCATAATTTAGAAATTTTCGGTCTAATCGGAATCATCGAAAATTAATTTTCGAAAAAAATCAGTGTCACCCGGCTGTTGCACCGAGTCCTCTCCATTTAAACATACCATTTTGTAATTTTTGCGTGATACCGCGTATTGATATTCAGCAGAGTTTGTTGGAAGTCAACTATGTGGTCAGGTTGAACGACAAAGCTAATTACTTGGTTCGGATCAAAACCAGCAAAAAAGGTCGGAACGCCTTGTTCTACCAAAAACTACTGGCGAGAATATCGAACGTTTTTGTTGAAAACCTAAAAAGGACATTGGCGGTTAAAGGTGAATAACAATCTATTGCCTGCCGTCAAAATATAAAAATAAATCATATTGAATAAAACTTATTTTCATTTTCACTATATTATTGTTGTTGTTATTATTATTATTTTTTTTTTTTTTTTTTTAGTATTGTCAAAATATTCGTCGATCGACACGATTTTCGAATCGGATCGCGTGCGGACGACCGTGAAAACGTTCGTCTCCTGTGGGCCGGGTTTCGGAATTCGGGAGGTGTTCTGTAGCGCTTGCCCCCCGCATCACTATAGCCCGGATAAATCGGTCGACTGTTTGAAATGCAACAAAGGTTTTCATCAGCCGGTCGCCGGGTCTGTGAACTGTGTCAAGTGTCCGAACCGTTTCGCCAGTGGTTGTTACGTGGTAAGCATTAAAAATGATTATTATCCATAGAGTACTGGAGTGTAACTATGAGTAGACCGGGTTGGGCAGTATTTTCGATAAATGTATCTCAGATTCAATTATTGTGTCTTGCATCAGTTGTATCCAGTGTCGCGACACAAAAATAAATGTATAGGTTATCAACATACACATTCTGAAGTGTCCTGTCCATAATTTCCCGAAGAAGTGTCAATCTGGGTATTGATCCTCGTTTTTTCGAAAATTAAATTAAACATCGAATGCGATTGTACACAAATAAGAAGAGTCATTGGAAATTGTCTAAAAATGTTTCAAATAAATAACCACCGCACGATACCGCATACACGACTAGAGCTACGCAATCAATGACAGGGGGCTATTTACTTAATTTAATAATACACAATAGCATCTAAAAATTAACCGTGTTGAATGTTTTAAATATTATAAATTTGTGTCATAAAACTAAAATCGCTTATATGTTAATTGTACAGCTTAAGGTCACGATATCGGTTCTGCTATTACACACTTAGATGACTAAGTGTGTCATATTAAAAATTATGTGCCTAGAGTTATACTTAGGGATAATCTGGCCCTTTTTTTTTATTCGTATATAAATACTGAAAATCAACGGATCAACTATCACCGAGTATCTAAATACTCAGTTTTAAGTATCTCGACTGTTCTTATAAGTGGGTATTATACAGGCTTTAATTAAGATTACTGTTTTTTCGGTATTCAATAGGTGTTATAAGATCTTACGTTCCAACACTGATAGAACCCATAGGTTATATTGAAAGTTACTCAAGTATAATATTATCGTACATTTAATTATAAATATTTCCGTATGAATTCGTATACGAAAAAGGACGTTTGTGATATTCCAGCACTAATATTACTGTGTTGCTGTATTATTATCTATTATTATGTACCTACGTCATGTTTGCGCAGAGCCAAATTCCTAAGCGCACTTACTACGTATCGGCTGCCATCTGTCTGACGGTTTGCTTGTTAATAGCCGCAGTGGTTTGCGTGTGTTGCTGTCACAAAACAAATGAAACAAGTAACTCGCTTTGGTCTATAATAGTAATTTTTTCGAATTTATCCACGAAAAAAATATATGATGTTCTAGCCATGCGGACGATTCAGACGAAAATCAAAAACAAATTTAAAAGACCTAAGAAACGCGTTTTGCTGCCCGCAGGTGAGGAATCGAACAATTCGAGAAGCGATACCGACGAAACAAGTAACACGCCTTGGGGGATGATAATGGTATTTAGTTAAATTAACCTATCCGCAAACGAAAATATTATAATTTTCTAGTCATAGAGTCGATACGGAGAAATGTCAAAAAAAAATTTAGAAAATCTAAAAAACGCGAATTGCTGGTCACAGACGGGACATCGGACGATTCGAAAAGCAGTGGCAGCTCGGCCGTACGGCGACAATACAACAAATTTTTAAAGTTTATAAAAAAATCCAAACGCAAAGTATCGAATCCGAATGTACCGTTCCACGTTTTGCACGAGAATTATGGCCGATCCATACCCGCGGTAGACGCACGAAGAGCTGAGCATTATAATTGAAAAAAAAAACTAACAGTTGAGTAATAGCGTATTTTGATAGATTGTTACATTAAAATGATAAAAGCACAACACGCGGGTGTATTTTTGTGCTCTATTCGTTTTTTAAAAGGTCTCCACGCCGACATTTGTGTTCTCTGTTCATTTCGCGCGTTAATAAAGCGACAAAAGCATTACGCATTTCAACAATTGCGAGCCTCCGGGTTGAGTTTGGGACAATGAAGAGACCTGTTTGCACACAGATTGCATGGGGAAGATTATGCTTTGACAGAATTGCTTTTTTTTTGTATATATATATAAGAAGAAAACAAATTTTTATTTCGGTACGCATTGTAAATAATACTCTTCTTTATAAAATCTACAATAGGTAGTCCATTTGTCCTAACCTCGCCGAGAGAGTCACGCAATTGTTGAAGTGGGGAATGTTACACTAGACAGACATAACAGGTGTAGAGCATGGACAGAACACTTTACTCGGTTTGTTTATACAACACATCGAACCTAACATAATATGTGTGACAAAGACAAAGCTTATTTTTTTCAAAGAGAATTTTAAAAAAAATCCGTAATAAACATTAAGATAAGAATGAATATGAGTTTTATCACTAAATGGACAATCTATTTATTATAATGCCCATGGTGTGGAAGCCCATTATTGTACCCTTATAAAAGGGAGCGGTTTTAGAATTAAAACCCCCTCCCCGAGATTTCATGAACATTTTGATGAAATTAGATGTTTAGTAGAGTCAAGCGGTTTCTGTCAATGGGGAAGATAAATACAATTTCGGTTTTATTTTTATTTTACTACTAGATAGTAGGTATATATTGTCATTTCTAATTTTTTGCGGTTTTCCTGCTATTAGAAAATTATAACTGATACGACGATATTGCTTAGTAAGTATAATCATCAATATAAATTGCGTTATTATTTAGGCTGTATTCACTAAAAAAAAAAAAAAAAATTAAATGTAAAACTTAGTAATAGGTACTTAAAAGGCTAACAATAAATGTTATAAAATATTGACATTTTTAATGAAAAATAAATAATCCTACAGTTGAAAGTATTTACACTTCTTTGTTAAAAGAGTATAAAAATGTACGACCTCAAACCCCACCCGAAATATTTTTTTATAAACGCACTTGATTGTACCAAAATATCGCGTAGTAAAACGCACGTGCGATGCCACTTGCCAACCTCGATAATGGAAGTATACGTTTGTATACTGTATTTATATGATATATTTTAGATAAATAAATAACAAGTTAAATAATTTTATTTTCCCGTTGTGTTATTATTTCGAATTCTGTAAATAATATGTTACCAGAAATGTTGATAATTCGGGAATTTATGGAAATTAATAATACGGTTAGGAATTAATGAAAACGTTGCATAAACCAGCGGTGTATTTAGGGCGCAGGATAATCTGCGCCTTGACCTTTTTTATCTATTATTTATACAACCACGTATTTTTTAACCTAAATTTCTTTTAATCAAAAAAATCGAAAATGTGTTGGTATCTAGTTCATATTATACCGGTAGCAACAAAATCCGAACGTATACAAAAAGATGATTAGATTAGTTCGTAAATAGTACATTAGACTAATAATAATTACTAATCCTAATGATAATTTTTAGGACAGACCGAATAATAAATCACATAGAGATAATTACAAAGAGACATAAATAAAAAATTATTTTATTATTTTTTTTTAGCCTAACTGCACGTTATATACCCACAATAAATTTTAAATTCAATATTTCTCTCCTTAGAAAAATCCTAAACACGCCACTTTTGCCCATAGTACTATTGTTATCGTTCACATAGTTTATTAGAAAATGTTATAAAAACCCTTATCTATATCATTATTATATTACTTTATCTACAGAGGTGTCATGATTTCTATTTGAGGATGAGCAGTCCAAGCGGAAAATATTAACGACACTCCTGGAAATCAGCGCGGCGGCTACAAATAGCATTTTATGGTGAAAATAAATCCGATCACAAAGCGAATTTATAGTAAGGACTAGGAGAAAAAGCAATTGTTTACAGAAAACCTTGGTAGATAATACCCGGACCATAAAAACAACGTGTATACTGTATTAATTTTTCTATACAATAAAAATATAATCACGTATACTACCCGATGTCTGATGTGGATGTCCTACAATAACGTAATCCTACTAACTTATAGTCATTATTATTTCCTGTTATCGTTTTTTTTTTTTTTTTTTGGCCGTATTGTAGACCGTTTTAAATTGGATTCCTCGTACTTTACGTTCTAATAATAGGGAGGAGAGCACCCGAAAATATCCTTCCCGAGGAAATCGCAGAAACGGACGACGACGAGAGTGCGGTTCGAGTGTTTGGTCCGTGAGGTTTTCTACGGGTTTAACGTACGGTAAAAAATGTAACGCGTGTCGTCCCGCATGACCGTTGTGTCCGATAAAACGCACGCGGAGAGAGAGAAAGTTTTTTTTTTACTTTTTTCTCCCCTCCCTTTCCCTCTGTTGTGAAAAAAAAAAATTATATTTGACGGTCAGCGGAGAAATGTAACAGTATGCAGGTATACGCGAGACCACTCATCCACCCGGTGTAAATATACCTATACGCAAAAGCAACATGATTTATCGTCGAAATATGATTATATTTTTAGTCCCGATGTATGCACGGTCCACGCACTCGTTCGATCGGAATCGGGAACGAGTCACGGAATACAATATACATTGAAACCTTGAATTACGAATGAATAAAAATGTTCAGCCCCGTAAGAATGATCAGCGGTTCGGTCCAAAACTAATTATTACGAGGTTCGCGAGGGCAATAAAAGTTATACGGTTTAGTGGCGAAAAAGCGTTCAGTAAAAAAATCACGATTTTATTTTTCATAAGCGCTTTATACCGGACCGTCCGGGCCACAGGCAATTCAACAGATAATTTGTTCTCGGACGTCATGGTTTATTTCTCCGGTTACATTCCACATCGGCGATCAACCGTACCTATGTTAATGCTTGTTTAACAAACGCCGTGTCACATCCACTTTGGCTCTACTTGAGAACACCTATAGTTTTGATTTAAAGTAGGTACATACACTCAGAGCGAAATACGCCATTCCCGCATGGCGTTTTTTTAAAAAGGAATTTCTCTGATCAAACAGACACCCAGTAAAATATACGATTTTACTTACTTTGTGACCCGTGAAAAAATAAATTGTAAATTATGAAACTGATAGATTTTATAATAAAATATTTTATTTTTCATATATAAAATACTCTCATTGTAAAGCGGTTGGGGTTACTAGGAAAGCCCGGAAGAGAAAGATTTCGTTTACCTGATTATAAGAATTTTTTTTTTTTTTAGAAGGGAGACTGGGGATACTGGATATTCTCTAAACAAAAAAAAAACCGACATACTTCACACGGGAGTGCAGCCACTGTTATAGATGGGAAGTTGGGAGGGTAGGATACAGACAGAAATTTAATATATATCTGTAAGCAAAGATAAACCATAGCTAACGAAAAAAAAAAGATTCTGAGCGGAGTTCAGTTGATAGTGTTTCTTTGTCAACATTATATATATATATACACATATATATGTGTACAAAAAATTATATAAAATAATAAAAACTTAATAATATCAAAAAATAAATAAAAACGGTTTCCACTGATAACCTTATTTTTAATCGTACAGTCTTTTTTAACTTAAAGAACCAAGTTTTTCTCATTATCTCGAATATTAATGAGAATTTCAAAAATTTACTTCTTTAAAGTACTACCCAGAGAACATTTCTTTCAGAAAGCATACTATACATAATAATCGGAGTAAGCTTTCTGGTAGAAAAAGTGTTCACATAAAAAAACAAAATAAACACCTTTGTAAAACCAATACATTCTTCGCTAAACTCGGAATCTGAAATGTCTATCTTTTCCGCCTTGTTCATGCGATTTACTAATTAATTGGGCCAGTCGTTATTATCACAATAGTGTATCACCGAGATATCTAATATTGATTAAAAAAAAAGACAAATTGTTTATTCGTATTCATATTCCTAATAATATAAGACTGGACGTTGACACGATAAATAAATGGCTGAATTAATTTAAACCCGTATCCGGTGGGCTGGGCGTATTTATCCAGACGATTATATATACTAAGTTTTCACAGTTCGGATATAAATCTTCTTTCTTCTTTCTTTTTCAAAGATAACGGCCTTTAAGACCGGCTTTCCGAGCAAATACTCGTCCGTCTAATTCCGTTGTTCCGGGATATACAATATAGTTGTTATTAAGTCGACATCGTTTTCAACGGTTTCCGGTTTGACACAATCTATCATGTACGAATACCTATACTCGTGGATATTATTATATTATATCGTTTTGTATGATATACGAGCTGTCAAAACGGATTCAACAAGAAAAATAAAAATGTTTCTTACGCGTAACCACCACCCCCCCTCCAAGAAAAATAGTAATTTAGTCGGTAATAAAAAAAAAAAAAAAAAACTGTTCGTAATAAAGCAATAAATTAAGTCAGTAACAACCCACCTTACCTATATATATATATAGTTGTATAATTTTGATTACGAAATCGCATTAAACTGTTTTTTTTTAAACTCTGTTAAGTCGGTGAACGCATTAGCAATTATTATTATTACGTGTAAAGTCGTTGCGTTTTAACCGGATACGTCGGAAATTCGAAGACTTAGTTGAGTACCTATACACGTCATAGAAATAATTTATTAATTAATCTCGGGTTTTTTAAATTGTTTTTTTTTCAACTCAAAATAATAATATTATTATTATTGTATAATTATTATACGGTTAAGATGAACGCTATTATTTCTTATTCATAAGGCGTCTGCGAAACATCCACGAGACGTTAAAATGTATACGCTTTTTATATTCTAAAAAAATAACCCCGGCACCGGCAAAATCGTAAAGTTCATAATAAACTAAAATACTTGCGGCGGTTTATTTTCGTCCAATTTTTCCCCGAAAATAGAGAC